CCTTCCTACTCCTGAAAAATAAAATTTCCTCGTTTGCAAAATTGTCCCACTCTGGAGGTAAAACAAGGACTAGAGGCTAGTCAAAATCTTTTAATCGAGGCAGTACAACTTCTCGTTTCTCTCGAGCAACATCTCTCCTGGCTCTAGCTTGGCAAGTGTTGTGAGAAATAAGAACGCCGCGACTTAGCCCGTCTGCGAGTCGGACCCCCGTGTAGAACTTATTAAGTAGAACGCGAAAGGCGGACGAAAAATTAAATTCTTCTAACCGACGGAGTCCTTCGAGAATTGTGTCGGAAGAAAATCGGTTATAATTATTAAATTAATTATAGCAGATTTTGTTTGTGTGAAAACCGGCCAGCCCGAGCGTGTAGCGCCTGCGCCGTTCCGATACAACGGCCTTGATATAAAAAATTTGTTTTAAATACATTTTTTTTGAATTTCTTAAATATAAAGAAAAACATTTAAGTTCAAACTCTCAACTTGAACTTAAAGACTAAAATTACGTTGTGTGCCAACAACAACGGAAGTTTGTTTCGCCCGACGGCAGCTGATTGTGACACCACTGTCGCCGGTAGAGTAAGTAATGTATCGTTCTTAATTTTGCACCACACAAAAATAAACCTCTTTATTTTCTCAAGCTAATTTTCTCTCTTTTACTCACCTTTATTCCTCACACAAACATTCTAAAAAAGCAGTGCGTATCTTTTAAAAGTGGAAAAACGGACCTACAATTCAAACAAATTCCCGAGAGAATTTGGCAGCTTGGTGCCTCCCCAAATTCAGAAATAAAAAAGGGGCCATCTCAAAAGCCCAAATTAAATATTTATTCTGGTTTGTAACAGTTAAAGTATAAGAAATAACGTAAAAATTTTTTTTTTGTTTAAAATTTGTATAAATAAAAATGAACAAAGAGTCATTATGTGATACATTTCTCATTTAGAAAAGTTCTAGGTTAAATTAATTTTTAATATGTACGAGACTTTCGTTGAAAACCGAGACAAGACTAATATAAGTCTCGGTCTCGCCTCGATTTTTTTTGTCGTCTCGTCTTGTATGCAACCCTAAGAGTCAAGGAAAAAAAATAAAAAAAATACAAATTAAAAAAAATAATTGTTTAAAATTAATAACTGATAATAATATAATAATAATTTTATACTTGGGGAATTTAGAAGAAGAATAAAATGAATTAAAATAAATTTGGTCAAATGTCCTTTAACAATATTATATAAGAATAATAATTAATATTAATTATGGACACCAAACTTTAGACTAGATGATAAGATGATTTAGTTAATTAAAAATTTAATCCCATATAATAAAATTAAACATTGAGAACAGGAATGCGTCCTGTAAATTCTATATAGGTACCTAACCGTTAAAAATATTTTGACATTGAAGAAAAAGATAGAAATGCCGATACCCCACAAAATTTAATTTTCAAAGCAAACAAATGAATGCAGATAATTTGCTAACGGAAGGGAAACTTACGATTATTATAATGACTGGGAAAAATTATTATTGAGATTGTTATCAATGAACTGATATTTGATCAACTAATCATAAACCAGCAAATAACACGCGCGCTAGCACGCGGAACGCAGCATTTAATTTGCAATGCAAACTACAATATTTTTAGTAACGAACATAAAGTTTTGTTTTGTCTTGTTTTTTTTTAATAGTTCGAATTATTTATATTTCTCCATCAACGTTTTTCTTTTAATAATAACGATTCAAAAAAAAGAACAATTACCAAATTAAAATTAATTGATTTTATTTAGTTTCTTTGCTTTGCCGTACCAAGTTCCGAAATAAAGCCCGAATTGTAAACATTCACAAAATGTATGAGGATAAAACTGACACCCAGTTGTCAGCACCCGCAAAAAAATTTTTTTTTTAGATCTTCGTCCGACTCCATTGCTAGGCATAGGGCCTCCCTTATGACACGCCCCCGTCCAATCGAACGGCTTCTGTGGTTTTATTGGGCCTGGCCGCGGGCAAATGAGAAAACTCCCCGCACTGAGAAAATTGTTTAATTTTCTGATTTATCTGTGGGATATTTCAACTGACTCGGATCAGTTATTTAAACAAATAGCGTCCTTTTATGATGTAGACAAAATAACATTATATTATTCTTCTTTTGAATGTTTGCTGGAAAATTATGCTTTTCCCCCTTTTTTTTAATTATGCGCATTAAGGAAATTCCCTACCTCTTTTTTTATTATTCTGTGGTTTCAAGAAAAAAATAATTCGATAAAACAATATTGATTATCCATAATATTATACATAATATGACAGATTATAAAGAAAAATAATAAAATCATTCATTTCCAAAAAAAAGTTTAAAATATTGAATCACTATTTACTTTTAAGTTATTAATTTTTTTTCCCTTTTTTTTAACGTTACCGATAAAAATAAGTTATAATGACGTTGTCATCGACTAAAATCGTAATAGAAAGTAATTTCGAAACTGACCACACATATTCCGAGCGCTGACAATCAAAATCAAAATACGTAACCTAAAAGGACTGAAAGTGTCAAATATATTGAAATAATAAGAAATAATTATGAATATATATATTAAGTGAAAAGAATACTAGGTTTTCAAACTATTTTATTGTAAGTATATAACTGCTGAGTTTTCAATATGATTGTCTTAAATTCAGCACATTTAAAGTGCTGAAAACCAGCATGCTTGCTCTTGAATTTCAGCCAAAAATATGATTTGAAATTAAACACAGGCTGCCTTAAAATGTTGCATCTTAAATTAAGGTATTCCTTATGCCTTAAATTAAGACTTTCCTTTTAATGTGTATATCTATCTAGTTTTATAACTGTCTACTATTATTTGTAAAATAAGTAATTGCAGGCTTCTCACTCTTTTCTGAATTCAAAAATAGTAGGAAAAAGTAGCTTTTAGAGGTTCAAATAGTAGGAAAAAGTAGCATTTAAAAGATTAAAACAGTAGGAAAAGTAGTAAAGTAAAAGTGTGAAAAATAAGTTTTTTTTGTACTAATATGCCAAACATAGGAAAAATAATCTAAGTTTTCTAAATAGCAACAATAAGTATAAATAAGTGACACATGTTTGTAAGGGTTTTTGAGGCCACTGATTACGAATATGATGTTAAATAGCCAATTTGACAGTTGACAGCTGTCAACTTCTCTAAAAAGTGATCGTTGTTTTTTTATATGTAAAAAAGTCAGTAATAAGGTTTTTGAGGTCTCTAATTACGAAGAAGATATCAAATTTGAATTTTTTTTTTTGAATTTTTTTTTCAAAATAATAAAAATTATCGTCTTCCTTATTTTAACTTTTATAATAACAAAGAAATCAGTTTTTTCATATTTTTACTCTTGTTTCTTTTGACTTTAAAAATTTTTTTACATCACTTCTAATCAACTTATGACTTTTTTGTTTTCACCATCTTTAAGAGCGTTTCAAACTTTATACGAATCAAAAAAAATGTTTTTCTGACACGTAAGGTCCCTTCTCATAGACCAGGTCACATATATAATTATTTGAATCTTTTTCTATTTCATGCTTTACTTTCGCAAACGATATTCCCGAATGTATTGTGCACTGAGCTTTAAACGATGGAAAACTGTAAATCTGTATTTAAAATATGTATATTTCAGAAAAATATTTTTCGGAAATTTATTGAAAAAAAATTTCGACTCATAATTTCTTGAAAAAGTAGCTTTTAGTAGCCTTTCATTGAAAAAGTAGCAAAAAGTAGTAAATAGTAGAGGAGTGAGAAGCCTGTAATTGTGTAATAAGATAAAATAATATATGAAATCTTATTAATTAATTACTAAATGTTGTAAATTATCGCGGAAGAGAATTAAGTTTCTAACTAGGTAGGAAGATTTTACAATTTGAATAGAAAATATTCATAACGAATAAAAACAAATTCCAACTGTAATTGAGAAACAGTTCACTGCAAAATGACAGTACATAATATAGCAATCCCGCAGCAAATAAATACTGTAAATTTATAGGACTTCACATTAATAAGACTATGCTGCAAAACCAACAGATCATGTTGTGAATTCGCAGCACTTCGGGAAAAGTAGATTCACATCATCACCCTGTTGGATAGTTCTTTCTTATACTTTCGTTGCAAAATCACAACAGAACTTTCCAATAGCGTACACCGTTAAGAAAGAATTGAAATTCACGTTATTAAATTTTCACGTTTGTGTTATTGAATTTTCATTTTTATATTATAAAATGTTTGACACGTATGAAATAAGACATAATATTATTTCGTGAAATATTATTTATTCTCTTATTTAAATTTTATTTAATTATTTAATTAAATTAAATAGTATAGGCATCATTTACTCATTTTTCGAAAGAATTCATATCTTCCTCTAAAAGAATTTTTTTTTGATAGGGAAAATAATTTTAATGTCAGTAAATTGTCAAAGAAATTAATAAACTGAAACTTGAGATCGTATTGTATATTATATTAAAATTAAATCATTTTTTTTAACTCTATACAAGTGATATAATAAAAATTTTGAATTATATGTGCAAATTGTATGAACAAATACTTTTGTTTTTCTTTTTAGGTTTTAAATATTTTTTTTTTGAAAATTAATACTTGTTTTTTTTTTCTTTACTTGTAGTTGACTCTAGGGTGATTGTATTACCACGAATGTGCTTAAAGTTTTACGCGTAATTACTACGCCATGCCTATCAAGGTCCGTGAATTATTAAGGACGTTCCAAAATCTAAGTTTTGTTACTATATTTTATAGTTTATTGTTTGTCAATTAAAATTACATCTTAGCAAATTTTTTTTTATTGAAATTATTTGATTATTATTAATAAAAAAAAATAATAATTATTTTTTTTAGCAATTGCAATGAAGATTTTACAAGCGCTTGCGCGCGTGTATCCTTGCTAGTTTTAAATAAATTTTGCTTAATTAAAATTAGTTTGTAAATTCAATTCCGGTATAGAAGATGTCCATTGTTTTGATCGAATAGTATTATTTGTTTATATAAATACATCATTTCTTTAACCCTCGCGGGCTCGAGCCGGGTCCGAGGGTTAAATGGACCAAAACATATTGTAGTTAATCTTAAATGTGTTTGACTGTGCACCAATAATTTCCCCTTTTTTTATTAGGATTGCAGTAGAATATGGCCCCTGGGTTCCAGCGCCCGAGCGGATAAATTCCACCTTGGGATGGGGTTTTATTGAAAGGCTGCTATGGAATAGTCCGCCCAGGACATATTCGCGAATGATTTGGCGTCAGGAATATTTCTGGCGCAAAAGCACAGGCGAATACCTACATAGGGGATTTTGGGCAACGGTAGATAATTGATTTTTTTCTTAAAATTCTTTTCTCTTTCTCTCCCTTTTTTTAACACAAGGAAAATTTCAATCTATCCATTTACCCTTTCTCTCTCTTAAAAAAAATTTTTTTTAGAGCTCCTTCCGGGATCCGGCCATGCTAAAGAGTGAGGATGGCCACATGAAAATTATGGTCGGAGGGGAAGTCAATTGTGTTGAAGAGGAGGAAATGTATGTAAATTTCCTTTTCCTTTTTTTTAATGTTAGTTAGAACTAATGCATGAGTTTTAACTCTATTGACGAGGTCTCTCTTTTCTTTTTTTTTTAGTTTCTTGCAGGATCTTTTGGCCCGTTACCCACCGCGTTTTGGGGCCTATGCCGTTCGGGAGGAATATTTCATTTCGTTTATAGAAGAGTTCCTCCCCATAAATGGAGAAATGACATGCTTCAGATTCCGGTGGCAGTTGGTGAGGATGAATAAAACAAACTTTTAAATAATTTGTTCATGAATTCGTGTTGCCAGTGAGTTCATAAAAGATTTTTTTTAGTGTTATAATATTCCTGTTGACAAGGCCTGGGAGACAATAGGCCATCGCTCACTAGCGGAGGGGCGACAGGCTCGGTGGCAGATGAGGAGGAGGGCTTACCTCCTTAGACGAAGAGAGGCAGACATCCGGGGGGGACTTCCGCGACATTTAGGGGTTTAGGAGAAACCGTAGTCCCTAAGACATCCTTTCTCTTTTTTTTAAATAGTATACATATACACTCATGAAATCCATCCACCATAAAAGCAATCCCTCCAAATAATGTCCCTTAACTGTTGGCAAAAATAATCTCATTGTGAAAGGAATAATTTCAATTGATTTGACAATTGTAGACATGTCAAATAATTTGAAAAGCTTAACTATTTATCGAACAATACCAGGATAATTTACATAATTTTTTTATACAATAATTAAAAAAAAGTATAAATTTAACAATTAATAATAAGAAATAATAAAAAAATCCCTTTTTTTTAGTAGTGAACAAAATCATTTAATAATTAAGAATATAACTAAAAGGAATTTCCTTTCGATAGAGAAGAATTCTTCCTAGACAAATGTTAAAAAGAAAATCCACCCACATAACAGGATTCCCTTCCACCTGAGTAGACCGCTTTGTGAGTTTCTTTCAATTATGTCTTAAGTAAAAAAAATCCTCTTTATTTTTTTTTACGTTGTAAATTCGAAAAACTTTAGCGAATAAATAAGTATTGACAAGTTATTTGAACCGTTCATGGAGTTTTATTATTTACCGGAAATTAATTAAATGACAGTTACTTTGTTGATTAGTTGAATTCTTCATGAATCACGCATGCTTGTTTTTTTTTGAAGTTTTTATTAAATTCATCCATTATGGAGGCTGATCAAAAAAAATAACTACCGTAAGTAAAATTTTAATTATATTGTAATTTCTTAAGTAAATTGTTATTTCCTAAAAGGAAATTATTTTGATAGAACTCAGGTAGCTTTAGAAAATTATATGGTTCATTGGTTATGTTTTGTCCCGTTTTATCTTCATTGTTGATGGATGTTGACGGAGTTATAATTGTAGGTCATTACTGGATGATCGCAAGGGGCATGGTGAAAATAGGAGGGATGAAAATTATGTTCGCCTTAAAGAGTGTATTAAAAAAAATTATATATATAATTTTCCCTTTCTCTCTTTTTTTTGGCTCCATCCTATTTTCACCAGAACAATATCAATTCATAGTAAAATGGGGGTTATGATTATAGGTCGTTACAAGATAATCGCAAGGGGCATGGTGAAAATAGGAGGGATAAAAATTACATTCGACTTAAAGAGTAAAAAAAATCGCACATATATTTTTCCTTTTTTTTAACTTTATCCTATTTTCACCAGAACAATATCAATTCATTGTCATAGTAAAAATGGGGTTATGAAACAGTTTTCAGAGAGGATAAAGAGGCTGATCTTTTAAAACATAGATTTGCACCAAAAAGGGGGCCTTTTTCTCCCTCCTCTCAGGAAAACATAATCTTCCAATCAGGACAATCGAAAAGAAAAGAGGAGAGGGAAAGGTAGGGCGGGGCAAATCGATTATTTGAAACATCGATGTGTTCCCAAGTAAAAAATCAACTGATTATTATTGGAGTCTTATTAGGTTTTTAAGCCCTCCCTTCTCCTCTTGTCCACTCGAGCTTAGTCAATTAAAAACATGGGGCATTTTTAATGTCAAGGCGGAGAGCAAGTCAATCAATACATTTACCAATCAACTTAGATTTTATAACCAAATTATAAGAACAAGTTGAGCGGACGAAAATAAAATCAAAAGCTTCTAGGCGAACGTTAACAGAAGTAAAAACTTCAATTCGACGAAATGTAAAGAAATGAGAGTCGTTACCTTAAACGAGCTCAAAATTAGGGATTAATAAAAACTTTCCTGCTCTCCTCCTTTTCATTTTAGATCAAGGGGGAATATGATCTTGGGATGTTTTTTTTTGGTATCAATTTTACGCTGGTTGGAGCTTCTGTATTGGGAGTTGAATCCGCATGTTCACAGTGGTCTTCGGTGAGGCAAGGAATGATACTCGTGTGGATCGAAGAGCATCTTTCAATTCTGCCTTCTTGACCTGTTGAAGTTGTTCGAGATGTTGTTTTGGTCTGGGCGATGTCAGTCATCTGATCTTCCGTGATGATAACTCTTCGGACGTAGCAGACTTATCTCCTCTCTCAATGACAGAATATAACTCTTTTGATTCTAGAGTTAATCCTGAAGTTGTTGGTTCCTGTGCTTCGACTATTTTGTCCTCGGGCAGGCTGATTCTTCTTCTCCTTCTTCTTTAAACTTCAATATGGCTCTTTTTTGACTTTCTGGACAAGAAACCAACCAATTTGGAGATTATTGTTCTCGTGCGTAATTGACAAAGACAAAATATGAGGAGAATGCATAGTAACAACAGTCCTATATAAGATGAGTAAACAAGGACTGTTTGATTTTTTCCAATGTGCCTTTTAACGGCAAGATCCTCCAGTTGTTGTTCCAGCTCATCCAATGTTTAGGAGTTTACCCTGAAGGTGGAAAATTTCAGATCAGCCACTTCTTCCTTTTGATTGTTGTCGTTGGTCATGGTTAACAAGTGACCGTAGTTGAGAATTACTGGGGATATTTTAGTCAAATTCAGATGTAAGTCGGGTTCATAGATGATTTCTGTTTGTCCAACTTGAGAAATAGTTGCTGGGATTATTGTGTCCTGGGTTCTTGCCATGCAGCCAGGTGCCAATTTCAAGATACCGGTTCCATTAAGGTTAATCTTGATAGGGGTCATAGAATGACAAATAATTACTACATCTTCCATCTTAGAAAAAGAATATAACCAGCTGGAAAGAGTAGTTAACGACTTCCAGAAGGACTCAGAATTAACAGTAATTTGAATCTCACATGTTCTTAGATTGTCGATAGTTGGATTAATTAAAAGCGATGGTTCACAGGCTGGTCTCTCGTTCAAATCGTAGATGGGAATTCCGTTCAAACAAGCGTGGTATGATGCTGTTGATTTGCAGGATTTCCAGTCTCGCTCCGTGAGTAGAAGATAGGTGTGCTGCTCTTCATCAACAATAAGATAGTCATGTTTGGTCTTGACATAAGCTCTTATCGTTTTATTTCCTATTGCCTCTTGGATGGTAGGTAGGGGATGCATTTTCAATGCCTGATAGTTGTATTTTTCTAGTAGAGGGATATCAACGAGGATTTTTAATTGACGATTAACACATAAAATGGTGACGGTGGAGATCGGTATCAATTCTTCGATACTAACTGCAGGTCCAGGTAAGGGGAACTGTACTTCGGTAAGATGATCCTCGACGTCACGTAGGATGGGCTCCAGCTGCTTAGATGAAATCAGTCCAGGGTGTAATTTTCCTTGTCTGGCCGTATGGACCGCTTCCAGCATGGTTTGTGTGACTCGAATGTTGTGGTCCATTCCTGTCTTCAATGCTCCCAGTAGATTGAATATTGCATCCCTTTTTTCTAACTCGACTTTAACTGCTGATTGATTTTCTTGATTTTTAGTTATCAGGTCCAGGTTTTGATTTATATTATTTATTAGGGAACTATGTTTTTCGATTTGGGTATGGAGTGTATCGAGCTGAGATCTCACAACGTGGGTTTGACGTCCAACCAGATGAGACAGATTGGCTTGTGCAGAGTTCAATTCCTGGATGATGGCATCGTATCTCTCTCCATCTTCGTAATTCAAAACACCGGCGATGGGACCAGCGATTTTTCCTAGGAATCCAAGTAGGGACACGCTTCGCCTCATTCGTAGTTGAGCTGTCATCTTCTTCGGCATTGGTTTGCGGTTGTTTTCTAATTCGGCGATTTGGGTTTGGAACTGCTTTTGCAGTTCGGAAGCCATTTCCCATTTATCCTCCCAAGGGTGATGGACTAAAAATTCATGGCACCAATTTTTTTCAGATGCGCAATGGTTCTTCAATTTCTCCAGTCGGGCCTTCAGGTCGTCGATGTATCCATGTTGCCGGCTTATGTCCAGGAAGATGGTCACTCTCCAGTTGGTCACGGATCTCCTAACGGTACCAAGATACTCGTAATATATCCCACTGCTAACAGGCAACGGGGTAATTTGGAACCGCTGCTCATCAGAAGTCCTTGGAAAGGAGTCGGATCCACAGATTGCCACTGGAACTAGGATAGAGGTTAGGCCTGTCAGGAGGAAAACGGTTGGTCCTTTCATCTTAATTTTCCTTTTTCCTAAAATGAATTAAATGTTAATATTGATATTAGCGAAGTATTGGCTACAAATGGGTAACCAATACCTTGTCTTTATGTTTGGCGAACCTATCGCCATTCTCGTTCTCCAGAATAACATTATTATTCTGGGTAATGTCTACAACAGTATACGGACCGCTTGCTCTGTTGTCAAACTTATTTGTTCTTACCTCCTTGTAGGTATATACCTGGTCTCCAACCTTAACATTCGATGGCCGAGCCTTTCGATCATAGAATTCTTTAGAACGACATTTTGCCCTTCTTAGACTTCCAGCCGCCAAATTTTGCAGCTCGGTCATTCGGGTTACAAGATCTCTTAGGTAGGACCCATAAGTTTCAAGTTCTGGCCCCTGTGGGAAAGAACTTGGGATTCTTGCTATATGACCAAAAACCAACTCATACGGAGTGAAATCAGTCGCCTCATGAATCGACGTGTTGTAATTAAACATCGCAAATGGGAGCAGACGATCCCAATCGTCGAAGTCCCTTGCTTAGTGCTTAATGTAATCCGTCAATTCAATGTGGCTTCTTTCTAGAGCTCCATTGGTTTTGGGTCGATAGCCAAAAGTTGTAAGCTGTTTGACACCAAATATACCTTCAAGCTTCCGCATTAGGGAACTTACAAAGCTTCCGCCTCTGTCTGTGAGTACACATCTGGGTGCTCCAAACGTGGCAAAAAGGTTTGTCGCTACTGCGTGAGCGATGGTGGTGGTTTTTATGTCTGGGATGGGAACGGCAATGCAATACTTACTAAAGATATCTTGCATTCTGAGAATGTGCCGATTCCCATTGGGGGTGGTCCTAAGTTTTCCTACATAGTATCTAAGGACACTTTGTCGAAAGGCATAGCCGGTGTGTCCGTTATGATCATAGGTTCTCTCGTACGGGCCCTAGCAAGCTTATTCTCGAAACAACTTTTACATTGTCGAATAAACTATGTGACTTCGTCTCGCAGTCTCGGCTAGTAGAATCGCTCGCGTATTC